GTTTAAGGCATGCAGCGTTGCCAGATACTCGATTAACAAAAGTATCTCATGTAAAGTATGAAATAAAAGTATATATACTGTATGAACGTATATATACGCTCTTCGAACCTGCGCGCCCACTTTTCCAGAGTGTATATATATGCTCTTCGTATATGAATGGTCATTCTTCGAGGGCGTATATATACGCCCTCGAAGAATGACCATTCATATACGAAGAGCATATATATACACCTGTCTCTTATACACATCTAGATGTGTATAAGAGACAGGCCATGTACAGTAATGTCTCCCTTACTGACGCAGATGTGTATAAGAGACAGGCCATGTACAGTAATGTCTCCCTTACTGACGCAGATGTGTATAAGAGACAGGCCATGTACAGTAATGTCTCCCTTACTGACGCAGATGTGTATAAGAGACAGGCCATGTACAGTAATGTCTCCCTTACTGACGCAGATGTGTATAAGAGACAGGCCATGTACAGTAATGTCTCCCTTACTGACGCAGATGTGTATAAGAGACAGGCCATGTACAGTAATGTCTCCCTTACTGACGCAGATGTGTATAAGAGACAGGCCATGTACAGTAATGTCTCCCTTACTGACGCAGATGTGTATAAGAGACAGGCCATGTACAGTAATGTCTCCCTTACTGACGCAGATGTGTATAAGAGACAGGCCATGTACAGTAATGTCTCCCTTACTGACGCAGATGTGTATAAGAGACAGGCCATGTACAGTAATGTCTCCCTTACTGACGCAGATGTGTATAAGAGACAGGCCATGTACAGTAATGTCTCCCTTACTGACGCAGATGTGTATAAGAGACAGGCCATGTACAGTAATGTCTCCCTTACTGACGCAGATGTGTATAAGAGACAGGCCATGTACAGTAATGTCTCCCTTACTGACGCAGATGTGTATAAGAGACAGGCCATGTACAGTAATGTCTCCCTTACTGACGCAGATGTGTATAAGAGACAGGCCATGTACAGTAATGTCTCCCTTACTGACGCAGATGTGTATAAGAGACAGGCCATGTACAGTAATGTCTCCCTTACTGACGCAGATGTGTATAAGA